CCCTGGACCCGATCTGTTGCCCCCAACCTAGCAGCAGCCCAGTTCCAGTCTCTCCCCGTGCATTAGCTTTGCCTTCCCGACTCCACATGCCCACCAGGAAAACGCCTTATTCATCCTTCAAAACCCAACCAGATATTACCCAGAATTTATTACTTCCCTCTCCAGGCTGCCTGGGCAATTTGAATATTTTTCTTGTGTCTCGCTCTTCCCATTAGACAGTGCACCGTGAGGAATCCCATCGCCAGATCTATTCATCTTGTGTAACCGGCACCTGCGATACGGCCTTCCACGTGCGCTCTCTGAGTGAGTGCGTGAGCGAGCGAGTGAAGGACTGAGTGAATGAACAGTATCTTCCCGAGAACAGATTTTTCACTCTTTGTCTTGCTTAAATCTCCAGCCCACATAGTGCTTGGTTTTTGTTTGGCTCTTGCATTTTTTATCACAAAACAAATACAAACTCCCTGGAAAGGCGCATGGTCCGCAGCGGAAGTCTCGCTCCCTTGATTAATCTCCATCACCAGCTCCCGTGGCACTGCCCAAAGGAGTCTGTGTTTGCTGGCTGGGTTTGGTTTGGTTTGGTTTGGTTTCTGGAGCAGTGCTGGGGATAGATCCAGGGCCTCACATACGCCAGGCAGGTGCTCACCACAGAGCGCCACGCCGGCCCACGGCTGGATTGTTTACCCAGGTGTCTTACACTCAATATATCTTCTTGAAACTTGCTCTTTTACATAAAGATATGTAATAATAACACCAAAAACTAACACCTAGTCTCCATATGTGCCAGGTAGTTTGAGAATTTACATAAATATTAACACTCCCCCCCACATACACTGGTCCGTTGAGGTAGATGTCGTTGTTAGCCATAGACATCTGCTGGTCATGGCCGTACTATTACTTACTGAAATTTACTGTTTTGCAGATAAGGAAACTGAGACGCAGATTAACTAATTTGCTCAAGGTCACATCTCTGGAAATTATGATTCTATACATTTGCTTACCTTGTTCTTTTCAACAGCTGCATAGTATTCCACTGTGGCTTCTACCATGGTTTATTTAACCAGCTCCTTGGAGGATTTCCAGTTTTCACCAATGGCAGTTCAGTTTGCGATCAGTCCTTTTACACATGTGTCACCACTCTCCTGTGGGACTGTACCCACCCTGGCATGGAACAGAGCCACACCTACTCACTGCACACCTTGATAGCCATTGCTAAACTCCCATCTGGAGAGTCCCTGGGAATTTGCATGTACACACGTTCCCCGAGCACGCTGTCCTCCCAGACTCCATTTCCGATTGTAGTGCTTGTCACCAGTCCTGAGTGTCTTTCCGGGTGTCTGTGGGCACAGAGACTCTTCCCCGACTGCCCAGCTCAGCCCCCTCCTTGCTGCGTTATGAGTCTCCTTGACGAAGCTGTTTGCGACTGAGCACGGCCTGCACCCTGTCTGTGGCGCGTGCCGCTTTCTCCCCATTAGCGCTGGCGGGATTTGTCCCCCACGGTGTCCTCCACCTCACCCGTCTCCTCATCTGAGAGGCTCCTCTGACGGCTCCAGGGGCGGGGGTCGCTGGTACCCACCAGGGCCTCCTGGCAGAGCTGACCTTCACTCCTGAGACTGCACACCTGGCTGGGGGACTGAGTCATCCGTGCCCGGGCAACAGGGCTGCCCCAGGCCTCGGGGTGGGGCCCTGTGGGCTGTGCGGGTGTGGCGGGCACTCCGAGGGCATGGAGGCCTCTCCCCTTAGGCGGTGCTGGGCGGATACCTCCAAGATGGACATTCAAGGAGACTGTGTCCTCGCACATCACCACTTTGTGTCCTCGAGGGGCTGTGTGAGTCAGTGACGCTGCCGGCGGGACCCAGCGGCAGGCAGGTGACTAAGACCTCATCCGGGCCCAGGGGACAGGCAGGTGAGGCCCAAAGGTACCACAGAGCCCACCATGGGCTCCACCATGGGTGCCACGCTCAGGGCCCTGGAGACCAGTGGGGACACTGCCCTGCCCATGCAGGGCGCTGGGCCTGCCCGCGGGAGGTGGAGAGGGCGTCCTCTCAGGAGTCCATGCTGGGCTTCGTCCTGGGCTCGGTTGGCCCTGGCTGTGTGGCCAGCTGTGCAGGGCAGGGCCAACCTGCTTCCCTCTCAGGAGACAGCTGAGTGCAGTGCAGGTGACAGGCCAGGCCCAAGGCTTCCCTGCTTTTTTCATTGTCAAAATCAGCACATGTCATATTGATACAATATTCAATTCCCAGGTAATTTAAAATTTGCCAGTTGTCCCAGTAATGTTTGTTTTATTTTGGAAACAAGATCTCACTCTAGTGCAGGCTGACCTGAAACTCTCAGTGATCTTCCTGCCTCAGCCTTAGGAGTGCTGGGATCAAAGGCATGCACAGGCCTTCGCACTGATCCAATGAAGACATTTTATGTCTATTTCTAGGATCACTCAATATATTAGTGTTATGGTTTGTATCTGGATGTCCCCCCAAAGCCTCATGCAGTCATGGGCAGGCTTCTAGAGTTTATGATTGACCCATGACACAATGCTGGGATTATGGGGGTGAGTGCTACACTCTCCCTGGGGCGGTTAGCTTGCATACAATATAAGAGAGGAAAGAGGCTTGCTCTTCCTGCTGCCACTCCTCCCTTTTGCTCTTGCTCGTGCTCTTCTTCCACAGCCATGAACGGTTGCCCTCCGCCATGTGCCACTCTGCCTTGGAGCCAGCCGAGTATGGACTGAAACCTCCACAAACTGTGAGCCAAATAAACCTTTTCTTCCTTAATTTTGGGCATTGGGTATTTTGTCTCAGCAAGGATAGAAAAGTAACCAGGACAATTAGTCACCATCACCCTTTATTCTTATTGAGCCTGGGACTGTGCCTCAGCCTTATTTGCCTTGCGAGCTATTGATACCTCTGGAGAATCCAAGCCCTCGTGTTGTGTATTGCCCTGCTAATTGAGCTGATCTGATTTATTCATAATTAAATTCCGATGATCAGTTTTGGACAGGAAAAATCCACAAGCACTATGCTCTTCTCAGTGGATTCCATCAGAAGGCACCAGACGTCGGCTCCACCAGTTACTGGTGATGATTTTCTCGTTTCATTTTTATTTTTACTCGCTGTGTCTGCAGTGCCCAGTGGCCTCATCCCTCACGGGGAGGGGTGCGCACACCTCACGCGTCTTCACTCTGTGCGTCCCTTCCCTCCCCTTCTGCCCCATCTCTCGGTGCCCTCCCTACTCCTTCCTTCCTTTCCACAGGCGTCACTCCAGTAAGAAAAGGAAGACGAAAAATTATTTTAAAGAAATGCTGCCGTTGCACCAGTGAGAATCATCATGAACACTGGAAAGTGAGCTCCCCTCACCAGGATAGCCAGCATGGCCACAGAGAGGACGCAGCACCCTAGGGAGAGGGAGGTGCCCATCTCCGCCTCCAGCACATCACTGTGTCCCCTACCCTGAGTCCCCACAACCAAATGCTAATGTGAACGGAACGCTGATGTCAAACAACACAACTGCTAGAGTATAAACAGGAAGTGTCCCCCATCTGCCAGGGCGTAAACAGGAAGTGTCCCCCATCTGCCAGGG